GCGCAATAGACTCTCATCATGATTTCCTCGTACATTGTAAGTTACGACAGTATTTTAGTTTTTTAACATTACAAATATTAATTAATTAAGAAAAGTCGTAATTCATAGTAATTAATATAGTTTGTGATTTAAATTGATTAAATAGAGTTGATGTTATTTAATTACTTTCTTGAACTAAAAATAATGATTAATTAACATTTTAATTCAATTAACAAAATTTTAATTAATAAATAAATATTTTTTAAAAAATTAAAACTGAAAAATTATAATTTTAAAAATTTTTGTCCATATTTCGAATGAGTTCTCTTCTATAATTTGGCAAAATCTTAAAAAAATGTTATATTTTATACATCTAAATCTAAAATGAGCCAACAAGAATTTCGAGGAGCTCGAAGAGTTTAAATAGAAGGAAACATCAACAAGAAAGGGACCATCGATGGAAGACCAAAGGGCTTGTTTTATTGACCAGATGCAGCCTCCTTAACTGGAGTTGAAGGCTGATCGAGTGCATACCACTCGACCCAAGGACAAATGTCAACCCAGCCAAGAGGACATAATAAGTGATCCAAGTCCAAGCCCATCAGACTATGGCTAAACAAACAAGCACTCGAATTAACCATCACCAAAAAGCCATGAAAAGGCATTGACCACCCTATCACATATTAGCGATATGACCGATTTTCTTGTCACAATGTTAGTCATCAAATAACTTATCGCAAAGAATTTATGATTGTGGTGTCTCTTGTTGCAATACTGGCCATTAAAAGAATCCTCACAAATAATTTTTGACAATGATCTCCGTTCACAAAAATAATATATATATTTATAGTATATTTGTTTTAGATTTTTCATACATTTGCCAAATCTTGGAAGTAGTTTATCATAATACCCTAAATTCAATTAAAATGTTTAAAAAAAAATATGAGTATAACTTTTAAATATGCAATATTTTTTATCTCTATATTGTAACTTAACAATTGCCAAATTACAAGAAAAGTTTAAATTAGAATATATCTTTTATATCATAATTGCTCGGTATTACTTTTTGATTTGCTCTTTATTTATCATAATTGTTTTGATTTTTTTATACATGAATGGTTGAAATGAATTGCAATTATAGCTTATCTTTTCAAAGAAATGTTAATTATTGTCATTAAGCTTCAACAAATTAGCTTTATTTTGAGAAAAAAAAGCTATTAGCATATGACAAATGAATCCACATTAAAGAAAACTAAATATTTGATGTTGTTGGCTATAACTTACTTGGTGCCAACAAATAATAATATTAAGGTGTCAAGGAATGATGTTATAAATCCATTAGTATTGAGTTTGCACACAACAAAAATAATGATTTTACTATGATTTTCATATAAAAGTTAAATATTTGCATGTGCTCCAACCAATGGATTGAATACTCAACTAATTGGTTCGAGAATGCTACGCAGGCTAATCGAGCCGCCTTATTTACAGGAAATGGTTGTAAGTCCCACTCCTCTAGTCTGATCATCATCCTCGCAAGGACTAGAGCTGACGAGTCTAGTAAGCCTGAAATAAGAGTTTACAAGTCCAAATCACCCGAACTATTCTAATCCTCCTTGCTAGGAGTACAATTGATGAGTCTAGTAATTTTGAAATAAATGTTCAAATTAAGACTTTCTGTTGTAAAAATCAGGGGGGTGGAGAATTCATCTGATAAAAATAGAATTAAGATTGAGCCGAGTAAATATAACCTGGTTTCCAATAATACTTCACGTTGGATGTTGCAGCATTTGCGGATCCTGAGATAGGAGATGAAAAAAAAATTGTCGACACTCGACTCACACAGAGCTTCGTGAAGTTTTCAGTGTCTTCCTTCACTTCAAACATCTCCAGCATAGCTCGGAGAAGCCCTGTCATTGAAACAAGAATTTACTTCTGTCTCGGCACATGAATTCCATAAATTCCCCTTCCCTACCTTGATCGTATTCATCACCAACGTTTCTCTGTACCTTACCGTCCTTCTCCACCTCTGAACCCTTCGCTTCTCCGGAGGAAGTACCCCTACTGAGTCGATACCTTAAAGGATTCATAAATGCTTTTCGGTAGAACAGAGACAATCAAAACGATGAAGCGCGGCGCGTGGAGTTGAAGGTCAAGTATTTCCGATGACTTAAAGATGCCCACGCTGCCGGCGCTGAGCGTTTTGAAGTAGATCATGGCTCCGGCGAGCAGGACTGAAGTCCATGGCTAGTTTGGATTTGGAACGAGGGACGGAGACTTAAGGGTCCCTCTTTTAAATTTTTTTTTTTTATTAAAAAAAAATATTCGAGTGAAAATATGAGAAATGGATGAAAAAGGATGGTTGATTTCTAAATAGAAAGTTTCGGGTGGCCATTTTGCATAACCTTCTTTTATTTGATTTTGCTGCGGTTGAGTTTTGACACTTTCTGTTGTTATTGAAAAGAGAATTTTTTACAAAATTAGGTTCTTTTAAAAATTCTTTTACAAAAATTAGAATTTTTTACAACATTTTGCATAACCTTCTTTTATTACAAAATTAGGTTATTGAAAAGAGAATTTTTAAAAAAGACACATTTTGCATAACCTTCTTTTATTTGATTTTGCTGCGGTTGAGTTTTGACACTTTCTGTTGTTATTGAAAAGAGAATTTTTTACACTGCGCCTTTATCCACAAAAATCTGCAAATCAACTATTTTTCAAACGCACAAGTCAAACAACTTATCCAGAACAAGGGCAGAATGATCATTTATCCAGAATCAGTTGTTTTCGAAACGTACAAACCAAACAACTAGTAAGTTTATCAGGATAAGCTGTTGATCAGCAGATTATTAGGATAAGCTGGATAAACTGCAGTTGCCCCAAACAGACCCTTAAACTTCATTATTTGTACTCGGACCCTCTAATTATGTGAGGTTTGAAGATTTAGTTGCTTTCTTTCTTCGTCACACAAATAAATAGAGAAAATTTTTGAATTCTTGTTAATTTAATTGTTTGATGTATAAATATATCTATTTTCAAAAAATTATGTACATTAAGGCTCCATTTGGCGCAGCGGTGCGGCACTGTACCATTGTTTTGACTGTTTGAGTAAACTGTGTTTTGGTAACTTTTTCGAAAAGTTACCGCTAAAACCAGCGTTTTCCCACCTCTCCTGGCAAGTGCGGTAAGAATTTTCTAGCTGCAGTATGACTTTTTCAAGAAAAAAAAAACTTGTAATACCCTCAACAGCTTTTTGCAATATCAGATTATTTTTCAGCAGCTTCACAACAACTTCTTAATAAGCTGTAGCTGCCCCAAACGAAGCCTAAAAGTTTGTTTGGGGCAACTGCAAATTATTGATAATCTGATGATAAATACCTGATCCAGATAAGTTGGTGATTAGCAGCTGATCCTGACAAACTGATTGTTTCTTTGGTTTGTGCATTTGGAAAAAAACTGATTTGAAGTTGTTTATGGATAAATG